CAATGCTGAGCATGTCATCTATGGAGTGCTGTGCACGTGAATGCTGAACCATGGCCTCCCTGGGAGAAAAGGCCAATCTCTAGGGTGCAGATGTCTACCTAGTTGAGGTGCAATTCAATCTACCAAAGTGGTGCTACTGAATTTGTAGTTGGGAATGGACACACGATGGTAACATTTCCATTGTGGACATGTGCCATTTCCTCAAGGGCCTACCTTATATTCATGTAGTTGTTCAGAGGTTTTAAGCATTTATTAACTTTATTTTCAATACAATGTATATACTTGTAGGTTTATGTAATCTAATCCTTAATAATGACTTTATTTATGTGAGTCAGTTGACTTACATCTGTCCTAGAAACTTCACAAGTGGTGCTTCTGAATGATAGGAAGGATCAGGTTCTAGCACCAAGCTCTGTGTCCTTGCTCCACTCTCCCTGTCCTTTCCTGCAGGCACTGACCCCAGTTACTCTCCTGCCAGTTAGACAGTTAGTCCCCTGCCCAAGTGTCGCTCGTAAATTACAGACACTACTGTATCCTTTCCTCCTTAGTCTTTTCCCATTGGCATTTCAACAATTTGAATTTCCTAAGGCAGATGCCTCTGTAGACACCCTTGTGAGCCTGCAGTAGCACATGTCTTCCCTGCCTCGCTCTTCTTTCCCTTTTTGCTATGCTGGAGATGAAATTCAGGGTCTCGCATAGGCTAGACAAGTGCTCTGCCAAGGAGCTACACCCATGGCCCCAGCACATGCTTTTGATTGTCTGCGTCCCATCTCCTTGGTCACTCTGTGCCAAGCTCTGAGGGGCAGAACGTGAAAGCTGGGCTCAGATGGACTATGTCCAACCTCAAGGGTGCAGACACAGGGCCCTCTATTTTTCTAAAATCCTGGATTCTGATCAATTGAGAATCTAGACTGTAAATGCTTAGCATCTCGACTTTAATCCTTCTGAGAGGACTTTAGTAAACTTGTCAGGGATCCTGACAGTATTGTGTGCCTTCAAGCCTGACTTCCAGCAGCCACCCTGATACTATACATTTGTATTGATTAGTGTTCCTAGTGTTAGGACAAAAATGCTTGATATCTGCAAGTTAAAGAAGAGGTTTATTTTGGCTCATGGTTTTCCGAGGCTTTGTGGTTTCCGTGGTGAGCTGGCTATAGGGCAGGAGCATCAGGGTAGAAGGCTCTGGGTAGAAGGCTTCAAGGCAGCTAGGAGGCAGAGAAGAGGGGAGGAGTGCTGGAGGGGAAGTGGCTAGGTCAGGCACAGCCCTGAAGGTCACGTCTCCATACCATCCCAGGCACACACAGAAGTGCGCTTATGAATCCCCTAGCTGTCTCAAGATACCTAAGTTGACAATCAAGATAAACCATCAAAATCATATTGGCTTTTCATATTATTTTATCACAGTATCTCAGTTTCATCATTCCTGATTCTTAGGATCATCTTTTAGAATAAATTATCTGCACCTTCTATCAGGCTCTGCTTTGGGGATTTGGGAGAGAACCTCTCCTAAGTGGCCTGCTGATCTTATTTGTTCACTGAGAAAGACCATTCTACTCTTCTTTCCACATTTTCTAAATACAGCATGACCAAATGTTAAGATGACACTTCTATTGTAATAGCTGTTGGACATCATAGATGACTACCAGTTTGGTGTCTCTGAGAAGTCGACACACAGGCAGTACTAGATGTGCACAAGATACACAGTTTGCTGACCACATGCTCAGGTCTCAATCAAAGACAACAAGTGGCTGGGGAGATAGGTCAGCAGACTAAGGCCTGCCTGGCAAGTGCAAGGACCCGGGTTCAATCCCACATACCACATGCCTTGCTGGGGCCTCACCCTGCTGGCCACCAAAACCAGGTGTGGTGGTGCGTGCCTATAATCCCAGTGCTGGGGAGGCTGAGACAGGAGGATCGCTGTAAGTTTGAGTTGGGTAGTGAGACCTTGTACCAAATAAAGAAACAATTTAAAAAATTTTAAAAAGGTCACAAATGTCAGCCCTATGAAGGTTGTCTTTTTTTTTTTTTTAAGGTTGTGTCTTTACTGAACATGTAAAGATGTTTTCCTTGCTATTATTCTCTAAATAATACATTATCTTGACATTTACATTGCATTTACAGTAGGTATTACACGTCATCTAGAGACAACTTGAAGTCTGCAGGACAATGTACATTGGATATATGCAAATGATATATGCCTTTTACAATAAGGGACTTAACTGTCCTTAGATTATGTTAGTTGCAAGATCCTGGAACCAATTTTTCAAAGACACCAAAGGATGACTGTATGGGAAAAACACACGTGCAGGGTAGAGCAGGAGGGAGGGGACCCAAGGCATGCAGGTCTACCTCTTCTGATTGGAGAAGGCAAAGGAGGAATGATGGGGAAGAGCTCCAGGTGGTGGTGCAGTCCTGAGCAAGTCCTGCACTGCTGGTGGGAGTGCTAGGTTAGCAGGAGCCTTTGTCAGGTGGAAATGGAGCAGCTCTCCTGTTTCCACAGTGCTGGGGACTGTGGAGTGATGCGGTCTTGGTGTGAGCATCATAGTGGGCCCCAAGGTGTGGCACCAGCAGACTGTCATTTAGTTACACTCCTGAGATTTTAGTTCTTCACTTTCGTGCTGCCACGGAGATGGGTGTCTCCACATAGAAGCAGAGGCTTTGAGCTGTCTCTTTAGGATTTGCTGCTAAGCAAGGGTTCTGCCATCTCAGCCAAACTGATGGTAAGAGGGTGGGGGGAGACACCAAGGAGGGGCAGGGCTCCCCCACTTCAAGCAAAAGAAAATGTCCTTCTGGAGAACTCTCTAGAGAGCCTGGTATGTGTCACCTGGAGTGTGTGGACACATGTGATCTCAGAGATGGCTGCCTATGGGCCAGAGCAGATGTGGTGTGAGGCCGCCAGGTGCTCTGCAGGCCTGCATGAGCTGGGCTGGGGCAGGCCACCTCCACCTGTCCTGGAGGATGCAAGCTTCACAGGCTAGCTGGAAAGACAGGGAAGAGAGGAGAAGGGGAAGGGGGAGAGGAGTGGAGGGGAGTGGGAGAGAGGGGAGGGGAGGGGAGGGGAGTGGGAGAGAGGGGAGGGAGGAAAGGGGAAGGGAAGCCACTAGAGGGCTTCTGTAGGTTTCTCAGCATGTGTCAGGCTGGTGAATGGAGGGAGGGGACTAGGAAACAATTAAGTGGAATAAGATGAAATTTATATTGCTGATTGCACTGGATTTTGTAATAGGAATAAATCTAATTGTTCCTTCTACACCTGAAAGTGGCAGGAAAAGCTATAAAATTTGCCCTAGTTTCTTTTTTTTCTTTTTTTGGCGGAATCGGGAATTGAACTCAGACCCTTGTGCTTGCCAGGGAAGCGCTTATTCCACTGAGCCATCTCCCCCGCCCTGCCCTAGTTTCTTGCAGAGGAAAAGCGAGATCAGATAATTTTAAGAGACAGTAGTGTGAAAAAAGTGCTATTTCATGATTTCCCTTCACCAAGAAGTCCACTGTTACCAAAAAAAAAAAAAAAAAAAAAAAAAAAAAAAAAAAAAA